TGGAAAAGTTATGATATTATCTACTTGTAGGATGAATTGTCACAATTAACCCCGCGTTTCTAGAGTTGATTGAGAAAATGGAAAATTGGGGTGAAGATTGGATTTGGCATGTTAAGATATATTCTACTTGCTAGATAAATTGTCAGAATTTGTTTCATTTTTCGAGAATTTCCACATTCAGTGAAAGGTTACCCTCGGGTGAAGTCAATAATTTTAGCTGGTACACTGTAGAATCCCCTGCACAAAGCCTGGGGATTATTTGACAAATATCACTGAGTCTGAGTAGATTATTTTGCTGGAAAAGAGAATGTAGCCTTCCCTATTAAATATCAGTTTATCAGTCTGCAAGTTTTGGTGTTATATTTCACCACTGTGATGGTCTGATTGTTGAAAAGGGTCTGCATATTCCTCACACCCTTGGAATTTAAGTCAATTTAGCGTTAAAAATGTTTTCAGGCAATGAGAAATTTCCCCAGAAGTCTCTGTATACACAGATGCATGTGCATATATTGACGGCAAACTATTGATTTATCTTTGCTTGACAAAAAAGTGAACATCAACGTAGAGGCCCACGGGTACTATTCACCGTCAGATAAAACATTGTAACAGAATAATTAAAGGGTTGAGTGCAAAAGAAGCCCTTGGTGACTTGGGATGAACTACTATCGTCTCATTCCAACATGGTGTCTGTTTACTTGTGGAACCAATGGAGAACTTGACATGACATCAAGAGTCACTTAGTAGGGCTTAACAAAAGACAAATCTATGTAAGCAAAGGACAAGTTTTAAGTTTCTCTTCCAAATATTTAATGTCTTCCTATTACATTGACGTACTAATATAGCTGTCCTAAACAAGATCATTAAGCTCACGTAAAAAAAAAAAAAAAAAAAATATACATTAAATTTATAATACTGATAAATCACGTGTACGTTTATAATTTAATTGATTATTAATATTAAATTATACAATAAACCTCTTGGCAATGTAAGATAACTCACTAAACTTATTAGTGAAATCTTACATTGTCAAGAGAGGCGTGAAAATGATAGTTATTCACTATCACTTCCTTTGCTTGATCTGCCGCATGCTTTTCTTGGTGGGGGCACAACCGGGCCGCGTCTCGTCGGGCATTCGGCACGTACATGGCCAAACCCTCTACACTTGTGACACCGAACTGGAATAAAAATATAAATGAGAATGGGGGCGAAAAGATCTAATAGGGAAAGGAGGGGGAAGCACTCGCGTTGGCAAGGGGTTGTTCATCTGACATGTTGAACATCGAGCCAAGAAGGCCCTAATAAGGTTGAAAATACCCTTAAATACATATTTTTGATTGAATAGCCTACTCAAGGCGTTCACCCCTCCAAGGAGGCAAGTATCCTCTCCAAGGACACCTTAAATGTAGTGTAAACTGCTTGATACACTACTGTACAATACTGTTTCTGAATTTCAGTAGTGGATAACTGTTGTATTCTAGCACTGTTATTTTCCAGCCCCTCTCAGCTGTTCTCAGTTTCTCAGCAGGAGTTAACTGTTGTATTCCAGCACTGTTGATTTCCAGCCCCACACAGCTGTTCTCAGTTTCTCAGCAGGATTTACTGTTGTATTCCAGCACTGTTAATTTCCAGCTCTACACAGCTGTTCTGAGATTACTAGCAAGGAATAAATATTCTTTTCCAGTACTTACTTGTATTATCAGTTGCATACTATTCTTCCCACATTTCCTAATAAATGAAACTATATTTAGTGGACACTTCTATATCACAGACACTGGGGAAGGTTCTCAGAGAAGTTACCTTTGATACTTTTATAACTATAAAAGTAATACATGTAGCTTTCACTGCAATTTAAAGTGATTTAATTTTTGAAATACAGTTAACTTCTCCACTAATCACACAACACCTATGCAGAGCATGTCAATTATAAATAACAAATATGGAGAGTTGCAAATTACTTTCAATACTTTATAGTGCAAGCAATGTGTTCCTTACCATCATTTTTCAGTGTTTCTTTCCATTTACAGACTCGAGTGGCTGTAATGAAAAAACAAATTCAAACAATTTTACCTCACTTCTTAAAACAAGAAATCACAAGACTAAACAAGTGTAGAAACTTAGACATACTAAGGCTAAAACTCTGATTCAAAAATAAAAAAATGACCCCCTTGCAAAAAAAATTGTACCACTGTCTTTGATACCATCCTGTTACTCTACTATTTTTTTTTCACTTTTCTTTGCTCCTAATTTGTAAACACATATAATGCTTCTTCTCAATGGGAAGTGTCTTCAAGAAAACCCAAATAACAAAACAGTATTGGCAAGAAAGATAGCCAAATGAACAGTGGCATCGAATTAGAGCTTGGAGCAATTAACCGACATGAATGACTGCTACACCCCATTCTTTTTTCCCAGGTCTACGTGAACTAGATTTTGAGCACAGAATGCAATACCTCACCAAACAT